TTATACGTAAAATTATGGTCTAACCCTAACCTAGTACACATATTACATTCTGATGTCCGCCATCTTGGTTCGCATACTTCGGGAGCCCCAAAAAATGTAACTTGGAAGAGGAAGATGTGGGCTTATGTATGTCTTTGACTTACCGGTACTTCATATCAATTAACCTGAAATGATCCAATATTCAGATTAATTTCTATATATTTCGAAAGGGAACTATGGGCCATAAGAGTTTGAAAAAAACTGCTCTAGGTTGAGATGGTCATTTTTAATAAGATATAATTGCATTCACATAAATTTAGTAAGACATCTGGTTGAATTCTTGTCCAGATATACCCATGTGGGTATACATTGAATGCATGCGACAGAAGGTTTCTCCTCTTAGAGACAAATACCATGAGAAGGCTTCATCATATGACAGAAAAATCGTTCTTGACTCCTTTTTGCAGTCAAATGGCCATATAACTAAAAATTTATTGCTCTGGAATGCATGAACCCAGGAGAAAGCTGTTACCAAGAGCTAACAAACAACTTACGCATAACTTTCCTAATGGGAAACACGCACAGGGTGTAAGTGATGCAATGCCATGTGTACAAATGACATTTTAACATGCATCTACTGCATAGTCTTATTTTTTTTTTATAACTCATCTAGTAATCGACTATATGTCTTTCAGGTAACATTGATATTCCCAGCATAACGTTCCCAATATGTCAACGTAACGTGGATCGCTGGGTGAACGTTACTGAGGACGAGATTGCTGATGCCATGTATTTGATGTTAGATGTCCATCATAAGGTAGGAAAGCAATACGCACATATTTCTAATCCTCATCTGACCTTTGGTAAAGATTGATCCTCATGCTTTTTGATGAATCTGTTCGGGATTGTTGAACTTTATAATAAGCTTGTATGTCAATGTCATGCATTATAGCATATATGTGTGAATTGGGCTCTCAAGATTTCTAAACATAGTTTCATTATGACCTAGTCCAAGGCTACTCAACTATTTTTACCGAAGATCCGCATACAAAACTTTAGAAATATTTGGGTCCAGTCTTTCCAGAAATTATATTTCGGCATCCTCGAACATGCGTTTCCTCGGCCGGCTAATGATTATCATTTAATCAAGATTGTTTATTATGGCGTTATAGTTCTTTCCCTATATATTTAAATCTATAAAAGTAATTTTATAAAATGAAACTTCAAATGATCTAATGGGGCTAATGATCCAAAATAAAGAATAAGACGTTGTCCGAATCGAATAACCAAAAGGTCCGGATTCGGACCGCGGTCCGCCAGTTGAGTGGCCTCGACCTAGACTTCAATGGTCGTGTGCTTATTGATCACTAGTTGAAGCTATGCTGGAACCCAATGGCCGACTTATCATCCGGAAGGAGATGAGAAATTCTAATCTGGGCAGGTAAAATGGTTAACTCATTTCATACCTGAGCTGGAATGGTATTTCAAATACTAAAAAACAAGAGATCATCCATCTCCCTTGAGTAGAGCTGCGTAGCGGATGGAAATTTACATCCAGAGCTTTTTAAAAGCCAACTTCTGGCGAGAAATTTGGCTTCGATAAAACCAAATTTTGATAGTCTTCTAGAATTGCCAGTTGAAAATGCTTAGTCACAGTAATATTTTTCTGTTTCTATCTGAAATTCAAACTACTTAAAAATTTTAACTCCTACATAGACGAGTTTAAAAATACGTCTCAATAATAAATAAACGAGAATATCGGTCAGAGACCAAAGACTTATCGATCGAAAGTTAGGGGATCCCCCAAAACAGAAACTGTAATTCGAAAAATTCTGCAAACCCAAACTGGATTGTTTTGATTAGTTTTCAGTCAATATCAAAAATGTAGAAAACAATAGCCAACTTCCCACGTCGTCATCGAAATACTACTCGAGGAAATACTTTTATGAAGAATTCTACAAATCCGAACTGGATTGTTTCGATTAGTATCCAGCCAATAGCCTATTTACCAATACTATATTTTGTGTCAAATACAACGGCACTAACCCGGGTTGCGACGGGACGGCTATCCAAACACTGCGATATTTTGGTGAGGAATTCTGCAACCCTGAACCTGATAGAGGGATATGGACATTGCTTAAAGAGTAATTATAAGTAACGAGATACGATCTCGCGGTGTGTATCCTTCGCTCTGACTCACTAGCGTGAAAACTTGCGCATCACACACACACACATTTAGCGCGTCTCAAACATCTCTCGCTTTGTAAAAATCGTTCTCTCGATTTGCAAAATCCAGACCTCTTTATCACTAATTAGTTAATAACTCGATAATAATAAGACATAATTTATCCAAAATCAATAGGCTTCTGGTCTGAGATATGATGAATGCACATGCAAAATTTGGAGCAAATTCAACCACGCCTCCATGAGATATCGCGTGCATCTAACAGACAGACAAACAGACAAATACTTATCAACATACTTACCGATCTAAAGATCGATAAGTAAAAACACTCCAAACTCATATCCCACAACTCTAATCCCAAGATAAATATCGAAAATTCAGGATCTTAGTTATCTATATTAACAAAATCAATGTCTTTACTCGGCGCTCTAGAAGTATGTGCACCAATATATAGAGTATATATATATAGTAACTAATTTTGTTCGCCTACTTTACATCAAGTTGTGTAAATGGACGGGAACCTGTGGGCAGATGGTATTGTATATTCACTTATCTAACACAAACAGTCCCCGAACTCGTAATAGAACTAAAATAAGGAAAATCGGAATAAAATGATGGACTAACCCTAACCTGGTACACATAGTGCAGGAGTACCAACATTGTCAAACTCAGATACCACAACTCTATTCCTAAGATAAATATGAAAAATCCAGGATCTAACTAAATTACTGTTTTTACTTCGCTGAATTAGGGTATATCAAACCTATCTATATTTTTACTCCCCTTCAGGTAATTGAAGGAGCAGCAGGTGTCGCCCTTGCATCATTCTTGAAGGTCAAAGCTGATTTTCAAGGTCAAAATGTAGCTGTTGTTATATGCGGTAGCGGAGTTGGCATAGCAACTATAAAGAAAATCATCGACACACATTGGAAAGAATAAAATGCAGGATATTGGTGTTTTAACACATTTGTGTTTTAGGCCAGTATGGTGCTAGTGTGTAATCCAATATTAGTAATAATAATTGTTGGTTTCTATTAGTTATGTTTTTAGCTTTGTATTTTAACATTGCGGGACTAAAAAAAATATACAAGGTGTCCAATAAAATTTCGACCGATTTTACAGTAATAGCAATTAAAATTTTTTATTCATCAATAGTTCCTATTGTGCTTGTAGTTCTCATTTATCATACAATAAAATTTATTGGGTACTCCCGAAGTACGCGAACCAAGATGGCGGACACCGGAGCGCAGTATGTGTACCAGGATAGGAATAGGCCATAATTTCAGGTACAAATATTACATGAGTCACTTGGCTAGTCCCCGAACTGTGATAGAACTAAAATTGGAATAAAATTATGGCCTAACCCAAACCTGGTATACATACTACATTCCGATGTCCGCCATCTTGGTCCACATACTTCGGGAGTACCTTGAATTGTTATTACTATCAAATTGTGCGAAATTTTTTAACAACCATGTAGATAAATATTTGAATATGTTCGAAATTATTTCAATTTGTAATATCAGTAATATTATTATTTTGCAAACGTGATTTTAAGCAATAATTTTAATTTGTAAATTTAAAAAAAAATAATTTCTGTATTCAGAAGATCTCTTATGCATCTATGAATGTGCTATCAAATTTTAATGCCTCTAGAATAATTTTTAAAAACCTCATTTTAATTGTTTACAATCTTGTTCATTCAATAATGACAATTCTGTATCGAATTAATTTTTGTGTGACTGTTATGTGGCTTGACTACCATGTAGTTTTAGTATCTTGTCATCAAGTAAGTGCTGCTAATGGAGTATTCTCTTTGTTTTCAATTTGAAGATCGCTAGAGGAGTCTGTAATTCTTTAATAATGTGTTCAAAAGGTCTAATATACCTCCTAAATGTGCTACAGCTATTATATTCAAAATAATTAATTTCATATTTAATTTCATATTAATTTAATGATTACAATTCCGTATCAAAACAATCTCTGTGGAGCTGTAATATCTGTTTGACTCTCGGCTACCACTAGGTGGTCTTTGTTTCCACTGTTATAATCCTGATATTTTGCTTTGCTAAAGCTTATTTAATTTGTTTTAATTAATGAAGTTCAAGTAAAATTTTCTGTTATAATATGCAATAAATGGTACTGGTATATTCGTGAAAATATACTTTTCGACGATAAAACTTTGGGGGTTTTTGGCCATTTTATTCATAAGTATAATAAGTTTGTAAGTATAAGTTTATTTCGACTCCATAATCAGCAATAGACGATAAAAAAATAGATAAAAGTAAAAGTAACTGATTATAGAATCGGGAAAGCGAACAAAACCTTGAGTAAGGTTTGAAACGTACAGATTTTAGATGGAAAGGTATTGATAAAAGAAGTAGTACGTGTTCGCTCACCCCATGGTCATCATGTTGCGTTTCACGTTTGCATAGAAAGATGGCCAACTGACTTATTCAATGAAAGCATAAAATGGCAGCAACACAGAGTATTGATTAGCACTGTCATTCCTAACCTCTAATTATCGATGGAGAGTTTTTATTTTATAATTTAGACTTATTTAGGGTTTTTGCAAAAATATTCGGTTTGGATCAAAAAAATACTTGATTTTGGACAGCTCTACCTACTTGGCGTGGCTTTATTGGACACGTTTAGTGGCCATAACGATCGTTTCAAAATTTTGTTGTTATTGTTATTTGTCTCCGTCTCCATTTTTGAAAAAATCGCTTTTCTCTTCGAATACTGGACCAATTGCTTTGATATTTTCAGTGGTTAAAAATAACAAAAAAAAATCGCTATGACGTCATCAAAATTATTGCCACTGGGTGGCGCTACGTGTCCATATATTTGAGCATAGCTCTCTTGTTTGTTCATATAAGGTGCATGCGGTCGCTGTGTAAAGTTTTTTTCGTTAAGATAGCGTCACGATTTGAGCCGCTCGAAAACGGGGTGTCAATTTTTTGCTAAAACGTGTTTTTTTTAATATAAAAAATTAATTAAAATGCGCGATTGAATATGATAACAGATTTGGATATATAAGGACTCGCTATAGAAAGCATAATATGACGCAATTTAGTCGAGACATAAACGATTAAAAATCTCATCCGGAGTTGCAAGGCATATGAAGTTACCCGGTTTTACGGTACACGGCAAGCACACTGGTCAAAATGACACGGTGGAAACCCAAACCACCTTGTGAAAATGATCCGACAGATCCACTGAAAATCCTAATCTTTAAAATATAAGAAATCGAAAATACAAAAAACGCATGGTAATATAATCAAACATAGAAAAATTCCCACTTCCTAACGTGTTGATAGCTATTGGTATTTTATACATATAAGGTTGTAATCTTGTTCGACTTTTTCTTCATGTTCTGTTAAACTATTTTGGTTACCACTGCTCAGTGCTCGATAACCATTTTTTTGGTTTCCCGTGTGTCCCCTTCACCCTGGAATGCTATTTTTTCATACATAATTTATTATAATTTGTGAGTGTGCACTTTCGGCATGGTGAAAAAATAAATTACTGATTATTGCCTCTTCAAAGAATTCTTCATGTATGCTTGTCGATGACTTTCTTCAAAATATTTGGACTAACGTTACTTCCGCATATGACAATAGCGACATTTTGACCTTTGAAATCGTTTTTGACCTTGAGAAAGGATGCCAGAACACACCCCGCTGCTCCTTCGACAGCCTAGATAAAAGTAGATTTTAATAATTTATGAATACTTATATTCACTATGGAGTTTGATAATTAGATATCATTCTACCATCTCACGAATAAAAATACAGACCACAGAAACAATTGTACCGAGATATCAGTATAGTAACGAAAACAAGAGAGCTACGCCCAAATATATGGACACGTCTGTTCGCAGTACAGTACGGTTTACCGTACCGTCAGATCACAGTCTACAAATATATTCACACCAAGCGAAGCGGTACAGTAGGACACAAAATGGCATCCGATGCCCGCAGAACGTTTAATGACGTCATAGCAAACAAAAACAAATCTCACAGAGCTAACAGGAATATTTAAAATGAATAAAAGTAATAGCCTTCTGGGGAAACATTTTATCTTAAACCACTAAAAATTTCAAAGCAATTGGTCCAGTATTCGAAGAGAAAAGCGTTTTTTTAATATTTCCACTAGGTGTGTTATTCTGTGTCAAACAACATAATATTGAAACGATCGTTATGTCCACTACGTGTCTAATTATATGTGCTTATTGCTTTCCTACCTTATGATGTACATCCAACATCAAATACATGGCATCAGCAATTTCATCCTCAGTAACGTTCACCCAGCGATCCACATTACGTTGACAAATTGGAAAAGTTACGCTGTCAAGACCGATGTTACCTGCACGTGCAGAAATGATTGTTTTGAATTACATGGTTAAGGGAAAAACATAAATGGGGGGAATTCATTAAACACTTAAACTTGTGTATGATTGTAGGCATAGGATAGGATTTACATATTTATCCCGGGGAAGAGGAGACCCTAGCCATATGGCACCACGGCCTCTTGTCCGCTTACCAGTCCATGTCTTCATGACGGGTATGGGATTAGTTAGTTATTTGTTTTCGGAACAGCATTTGGTATCGCTGACTGGATGACTCACTGAGTCTTTCGCGATCCCACGTTAATTGCTATGAATCGATGTTTTTCATTTGTTAATTTGCTATGTTTTTCTTTTGATTCGAATTGATTCTTGCATGACGAAAATAAATATCTGAATCGGAAGCATGGACTTGATTGTACCCACAAGTTTCAGTAATCTAAGATGCTTTGCACCATAGTTATGTTCACTCTAGAACAATGGTCAGCAGACCTTATGTAGCCTACTATTGGACCAAACAAGTACATTGACGATATGCGTACGGACGACATTAATTTCCGCCTATGAACAAATGACGTAAACTTTCGCATATGCTAATTACTTCGAAACTATAAATGACTTGGGTCTCGTTTTTGTGGCCAATGTAATTTTACCTGTTATTGAAAGCGAAGGCTTTATTTCGATGTCAATTGGTTTTCCAGCCTTGATTGATTCTTCCATTCCATTTGAATGTTTTGGGCCGCATCCCACAATCTGAAAATGGAGAAAAAAGATCAGTTGAAGATCTCGATCACCTTGCTCTAATAAGGAACCTAAATAGAAAGGACATTCGATAGTCTCGCATCTTGAGCGATTAAGTCAGTCGATACCTCATTTTATTTTGGTATTTTTGGCATATATATATCAAAATAAATTACCAATAAAAAACGGTTGGTCTGTTACCTGGAGGGCGATCATAACCTAGGTAACGTAACATAGGATAAAGTTTAAAATTGTACAAGTGCGGCTATCCACCAAAACAGTGAAAATTACCAAAAATAAACTAATAAATCCTCGGAAATAACATGCAAAGTAATTTGAGATGGGGAATACTGAACAAATTAAGAACAGTGGAACACTTTACACATATGTTTAGCCGTCAGCTACATAAACTGGTATTCGTATGAGTGACCGCAAGGTCTCGCCCAGTGATCAAGTCCATGCTGGCTTACTAATCCCACACCCGACATGGACTGGTCGACAGGCCGTGGTTTGCCATATGATTAAACCGTCTTATCGGCCGTCCTCTCCCCCGTCCTAATAAATCTGTCCTTCTGGACCTCGTGATGAACATAAAAAATTATGTATTGTATTTTGAAATAAATCGATTTATTACTCAAGAGCAATCGGAAATTTTACCTGAATTTTCGGATTAACGTGTTTCGCGTAAGAAGATATTCCACTGATCATTCCACCACCTCCGACGTACACGAATATGGCATCAACGTTCGGTAGATCTCGGAAAATTTCGTACCTGAATGTTTGAATAATTCGAGAAAGTGATGCAAAACACCCTTAAACTCTTGACGGTTGGAATATGGCAGGGCTACTCATCTGGCGGACCGCGGTCCGAATCCGGACCTTTCAACCATTCAATATGGACCTCGTCTGCAGCATAATCATCTTTTTATAGTTTTTGATGATTTTGATACTATGAACATACACGGCTATACATATTGCCGTACTGGTACCGATGTGCGACATTTGTGTCGTATTTGTGAGCCATTCATTGCTCTGGTATTTAATTTATTAATGCATTTGTTTATTTAATAAAATAAATTAAAATCCAGTAATTTTGAAGTTTTGTAAACGGACCTTTAGTCAAATTTATATTCGAGAAATTATACGTCACTTTCTTAAATTATATATCTTTGTTGTATACTGTGTCGCAAACCTTTTTACCGATAGTTTGATTGAATGTCCAACGTGTTTTTTACACGAATAAAAAAGAAAAAAATGTTCTGTAACTGTGCGCACCATTCCGAAAGACCATTTCACATAAGACACAAATATTTTCCCACACTTTCAAATGCTTTAGTAAAAAAATGTCAATATAAATTCAAATTTATAGGAATAATACTCACGCGATTGTGCCTTGTCCGGCAATCACATCCGGGTTTTTACAGGGGGAGACATATATGCAACCTTTTTCCTAAATATAAGTTGTTCAGTGTGATAAAAACATGTGGCGTCCATGAAAATTGTTCATATAGATAGGTGGCCATTTTCAAACGGTGCAATCACGCTGACTTTTACTATTTTATTCCGGCTATAAAAATATTTAGTTTTAACTGTTCGTCAACAACTACAATCGAAAAACGTTTATGGACACGAAATATATGTATGTTTTTTTTTTGGCGCTCCCGAAGCTGGTGCTCAACCTGTGAACCCTAACCTGGTACACATACTATACTCAGGTTGTGCGCCATCTTGGTGCACATAGTTCTGTAGCTCCGTTTTTCTTTATACGTCGAGCCTTTTGCTCAGCAAGGTCTTGGACAGGCATATATTGTCGGCCTGTTTGTGTCTATCAACTCGGGCTGGGCCATCGAATAGTAATTATTCGATTCGGTTCAGGCGAAAATTTCGAATCGTCGTCATGTTTTTTATTTGTCCACCTAAAGGTCGAGGTGAATCCCTTAATTTTTTTTTATTGGAACCACAATTTTACAATACAATTCTGACCTATGACTCTTTTCTTGCTAAAAAAAGTCAAATACAATTTTATATCTCTCGAGATTCGATTCGAAAAAATAATCGATTCGATTCTGAAATTATCAGGTATATATTCCAAAATGCCAAGATCTGCTTTTAACCGTTCGTCATTTCATTCTTGACGTTTTGTGACTAACTATTCCAGGGTTGTCGTTTCCGGGGGCCACAAAATTATTTTTGCAATGTTCGCGGGCCACAATAGTGCCAAGAATAGGTAACCAGTGCAATACAAAACAAACACTTTTATTGTGCAAACACATTGGTCAGTATTTGCCATTTATCAAGCTAGGACAATCCGCATTCGATTTTTAGTTTTATATGATGCCGAATTGTTAGCATATATTCCCGGCCAAGAAGATAGAAAGCCAGTTAACAATTTAGACTGCCAAATACATCATTCCACTGTAGCGAATGTGCATTGTGTAACTATGAATTATAATGTATTTAACCCTTTCATTTTAATAGTGTGTTCCATTTCCCACAATAGGTCATTTTATTGTAGCAACACTGATTACTGATTACATGTACTGCCTTTCTCGTATCGACCAATTTGATGACGTATCGTCCCGGCTTGCCGAGAGGGCTGCATAATATTGTGTTTAGATCCACTTCTGTTTTATTGCGTTAAGTGTGATGTGTTTTGATTCACTCCTGATTTACTGTGTTAAGAGTTAAGTGTGTCTCAGTTTTATCTGTTTTCGGAATTTGGATTGTGCATCTTCCTATAATATACAACAACGATTAGCATCAACACTGTGTGCTTATTATCGTCTGAAGGAGTCCAGATTGGAGTCACATTCCATAACGCGTGTCAAAACAATAACGCGGGAATCGAACTTAAACATATAGGGTGGAAGTCTTTATCCCCATCATCAGCATCTCGTCTCTTTCTCCCTATACCACTTTGCTACTTGCCTCAGCTAGCCATAACACTAGTCAACCTTGCACTGTGCCATCTTGCTGCGCATACTTCAGGAGGTCCCCTGCAATATATACTGACTAACCTTTGCCGCCTGTTCCGCTAATTCCATCGTTACTGTCATGTCGCTCCCTTTCATCTTAATTTCAGCGCCAAGTCGTTGCAGGTGATCAAGCTTCACCTGTGATGTGCTGGTTGGGACGTAAACGACGCACTTATCTTGACTAGATTTGAGAGCGTACAGCTGTGAAAAAATATTTGTGGATCAAGAGTTGTGAATTTTTTAATCATCTTTTTATTTATACTAATAATTAGGAAATCAAAAATACCCGGACAACATAACCTATCTTTGTCTTTGGGTTGGCAAAATTTTAACAGTGGCACCAGCATGTGACTCACGAATTTTTAGAACAAACAATCCTTTCCTAATTGTCCGCTCACAATATTCATATGCTGAATATGATAATAGAAATTACCAAAGCTATTCCATGATTTCCAGTAGAGGCAGCAACGATTTTTTTTGGGCATATATCTTTTTTCTGTTTCCCATTGCTTTCGGACATCTTGAGCACAGTATTGAAAGCTCCCCTCGCTTTTATTGTGCCGCTGACTTGATCGGACTCTGAACAAAAGAGCACTTTAAAACATCAGACGAGTGTGAAATTTTGACTTGTTGTTTTAAAATATGACTCGACATCGTCAAGCCAACCCTTGACGACAGAGTCCGGTCATGTAATTACTAACCGAGCCGACGTTGCTTGACTTCCGAGATGATAGGTAATTAACGTGGTTTGGTCCGCCATATTCTTTACTATTGCAAATTTTTGTGCTCATTTTGAGAATGTTTTAACGAGTTGGTGCTTACAAACTGATTTACCTGTTCAGAACCATCATTTTTAATTAAAAGTATTTTACCACGTGCCGCTTACAGGTATTAATACCTAATTTTGGACTTGTCTATCGCAGAGTTCGGGAGTCTAAGTTTTGATTATTGCAACTAAATGAAACTTTATAAAAGAGTACTCCTGAAGTATGTGCACCAAAATGTCGCATAACCTAAACCCTAACCTGGTAGACAACCTGAGTTCAGGTTGTGCGCCATCTTGGTGCACATACTTCAGGAGGTCCCTTAAGTTAAGACATACAGACAATTACAATTTAAAACTAATTTTCGAAAACTGACAAATACCACAAAACCACGAAAACGAGGCGTTGCTTATAATCATGCCCATAAAAATTTGCTTAAACGTTGCCTATGTACCGTATTTCAAATACACATTCACTCCTGTTTCTTTTGATAAATAATCAGAAAATTCCAGAGGGGTTCTCCAGACGTGTCCTTTTATCCTTTCACGCGCTTTTAGTACTTCTTTATATAGTTTTTCATTGCTCGAAAAATCCATTCTAAACAGAATTATGTTTTTGTAGTAATATATATTTTTATAATCAAATGATCTGAATCAATTAAACAGATTAGTACCTCGTGAATCGGTTAGGATTACAACTCCCTATCGGTAATAAATTGTGATTTCTCGGAAAATCTGTTTCATGAATTTATACTGCAGTTGAAGGCAAATTTGATAACCCGACAAACGATTTTCAATAGAAAACATATATAAACAGGTAGCGTTATAAAATATATGTTTGGGCCGTCTTGTCGACTCTCGTCCACCTCCCTTTCTTTCTGTACAAATAGAAAATCAAATCCTTATATTACTTTTTGATTCACTCCGACGTTGTCTAGATTAGGCCCTATATATATATATATATATATTATTACTATACCTCACGACAACCGTTAATATGAATGACAATTGAGTGCCAATAAAATTATCTCAAAAAACATGAGTTGGATCGATTAATTATTGTTGTTCTTTTTTAAGCCTATTATTGGTCGTGGGATGAGCTTGCAGTGCGTGAGAATAATTTCTTGTATATGGTATTTCACGTCCACGATCCAATAAAGTATAATAGCTGTGTTACGTGACAATTTCATTTAAATAAAGTCACGTGATCCAAATCAATAACGAATGATAATATACTTAGTGACATCAGTTGTCCAAAACGTCACCTACTTAAAATTTATTTTAATATTCCTATTTTTCTTTGCTTGCTTTGATTTCAATATTTTTAGCAATCATTTCAAGAAATATCTTTTTCCCCCCAGAAGATTGATGCTGACACACCTCACCACACAAAAAAAAACGCCCCCGTGGTTCACGCTGCTGGTCGGTTAAGACAAATACCTGGTTAAACTAATCCAATACCCGACATGGACTGGTAACCGGGCGAGAGACCGCGGTTCGACATATGATTAAACCGTCGTATCGGCTTTCATCTCCTCCAGGATAACATGTAAATCCTAATCATAAAAATGTGATTTTACAATGCAATGGCGGGGACCGGTACGGGTTCGGGGAATAATTATTACCTGGAAATAACTGGCTAACTAGTCACGGACGGGTTACCATACAAGAGGTCGTATATTATAAGATTAAGCTGGCTTATCAACTTCCCTTCCCTGGTATAAATGTGAAATATTCTGTTTCACATAACCAGTGGTGGTGACAGTTGGATTGATCAAAATTCAAAACTACTGGGGTCCGGTATTGCCAAAAATTATATTTTAACACCTTTAAACGCGTCCATGGCGTCACAGTTCTTTTCATATATAGTCAGGTGTAAATATGAGCAAATAATGAAATAACTCTCAAAACTATGAAAGTCATTTAATAAAAGGAAACCTTGACATATCCAAAGTTGGGCCAATGATTCAAAATAAAGAATCAAGTGCGGTCCAAGTCTAATACTCTGGATTCGGACCTCGGTCCGGCGGTTGAGTAGACATGTGGTGCGGTATATGGAGACGGAGACGTCCTTTAGCAGCTACATATTACATACCATCACGTTACTTCATGGGTTTTTTAAGTGTTAAAAAAATTCCATATCTTTCGAGGGTTGTTTTACCTTTACAAAACTATCATTTTTAGTAAAAGGGTTTTACCACGTGCCGCTTACAGGTATTCAATAGCTAAATTTGGACTGGTCTATCGCAGCGTTCGCGAGTCTAAATTTTGCTCTTTGCAACTAAATGAAACTTTATAAAAGGGTGCTCCTGAAGTATGCGCACCAAGATGTCTCATAACCTAAACCCTAACCTGGTACACAACCTGAGTTCAGGTTGTGCGCCATCTTTGTACACATACTTCAGGATTTCCCTTTTAAGGCATACTGACAATTAAAATTTAAAACTAATTTTTGAAAACTGACAAATACCACAAAATCACGAAAACGAGGCGTTGCTTATAATTATGCCGATAAAAATTTGCTAAAACGTTGCCTATGTACCGTATTTCAAATACACATTCACTCCTGTTTCTTTTGATAAATAATCAGAAAATTCTAAAGGGGTTCTCCAGACGTGTCCTTTTATCCTTTCGCGCGCTTTTAGTACTTCTTTATATATACTTTCATTGCTCGAAAAATCCATTCTAAACAGAATTATGTTTTTGTAGTAATATATATTTTTATAATCAAATAATCTGAATCGATTCAACAGAATAGTACCTCGTGAATCGGTTACTTTTTGGGATTACAACTCCGTATCGGTAATAAATAGTGATTTCTCGGAAAATCTGTTACGTGAATTTATACTGCAGTTGAAAGTAAATTTGATAACCCGACAAACGATTTTCAATAGAAAACATATATAAACAGGTAGCGTGATTAAACATATGTTTGGGCCGACTCTCTCCCCCCCTCTCTCTCTCTCCCTCTCTCTCTCTCTCTCTATCTATCTCTCTCTCTGGATAAATATAAAATCAAATCCTTATATTTTAAGTTTTGATTGACTCCGCCGGCCCTAAATATATCTATCATTGTTATACTTCACAATGATAGTTATTATGAATGACAATTGAGCGCCAATAACATTATCTGTTTAGAATGGATTTTCCGAGCAATGAAAGTATATATATGGCAGTGCTTAAAGTTCGTGAATGGATAAACAGGTTACGTCTATAGACATGACCTTAATCGATGAATTGTTGTCGGTGGTTTTTGTGACAATTAATATTCGTGGAATTACTTGCAGTACGTGAGAAGTAATCATGACGGTTCAAGTACACAATCCAATTAGTACGATATACCGTGTTTCCCCCAAAATAAGACAGGTCTTATTTCAATTTTCTTTCCGAAAATAACACTAGAGCTTATTTTGGGGGGATGTCTTTTATTTTTATTTATCAAAAATAAAATTACAACGTAGAGAATTGCGAGATTTTCGAATATACAAAATATGGAAATCGATATCCATTTACTAATAAATAACACGTTTTTATTTAAAATAACTGCTAAACATAGATTACTAATCATTTAAAACGTGTAGGAGAGATTTCTTGCTATCGGCTAGGTCTTATTGGACACGTCAGTGTACATAACGATCGTTTCAATATTATGTTGTTGTTCTTGTTCTTGTTAGTATTATTCTTCTCTTTCGTCATGATAAAATAGCTTTTCTCTTCGAATACTGGACCAATTGCTTTGAAATTTTCAGTGATTAAAGATTGATTTTTGCCAGAAGACTATTACTTTTACTTATTTCAAAAATTTCTGTGGACTTCAAGAGATTCGTTTTTATGTGTCAGAACAAAAAATAGCGACACCTTGTGACGTGTCCATATATTTGAGCACAGCTCTCTTGTTTTAAGAGAAGGGTTCTATTAAAATCATTTTTTTAATTCGGGGTAGGTTTTATTTTTGGGGCAATACGGTCCATTTAATAGCTATTCTACGTGACAATTTTAATTAAATAAAGTCACGTGATCCGAATCGAGAACGAATGATAAGTACTCTTTCGACATCAGGTCATCAAAACGTAGACTACCTAATATTTATAATGACAGTTTTGAGAACTTTAATTTTTGTGTTTTCCTCTGCTTTATATGACTTCTTTATTTTTAGCAATTCTGGAACTTTGGAGGAAATACCTTTCTCCTTTAAGAAGACCGGCTTCACGTCCAAAAAAATCACGCGATTTCCTTTCCAAATCGAGTTTTGTTTCAACTATTTATAGCAAGGTCTGCGTCGCAGTTACATCAAAATACATATATACCCATGGAATAACTATTTTGAGACATTTCATTCAATATGAATTATTACAATAATTGACTTTTATACTTCTGTATAACTTGTGTAATATTTTCATTGCAAAATAATCTGAATATCTGCACAACCTCAAAAACTGGCTTAGACGAAAAAAAAATCATCCCTGCTAAGAATAAGCCTGCGTAAATTGTTTTGTATAGATTAAGAGTGGCCTTTCGGTGAAATTCCTTATTTATCGAGCATTGACCCAGTGCTGCGTGCTGGCACGCTGGGCCCGGGTATATGGCGTAATGAAGCCCCTTTCCTAATTTATTCCCGATGCTATTCATGGTCGGTGCTTTTTGTTGATTTTTCGTCAACTTCACACTGTTTTAAGCGTGACCCGAACTCACTTCGTTTCAAGGTCGTTGATTACCAATCTACAAATCTAACTTGCAAATCTAATCGTGAAACCGTACTGCACAATGTTGTAGCTCAGGGGTCGGGAACCCATGGCTCGCGAGCCATATATGGCTCTTTTGGTGACGGCATATGGCTCCCAGAAAAATCTATTATTCTAAGATTATTCAAACTATTTTATGGCCAAATTTGGCAAAAAATTCCCAATACGTTTGACAACGCGGGCCCAGCGCATGTCTATGTTATGCAAGAGAATTACCAGACAGGCATTGTGACAAAACATGGGGGATTCTGGAACATATATTGTGACATCACAAAGCGATAGAGTTTTAAAATACTACGGAGATGCCTAAACGAAAAAGGGTGATATTGACATGGAATGTGTTGACTTTTGAGTAAACGTTTCAGGCCTGATTAAGTGAAGAAATGTTATATGGCTCGCACGAAAATGCAATTGAAAATATGTATATTTCAGGGCTCTCTTGACCAAAAAGGTTCCCGACCCCTGTTGTAGCTGATAATTGGACACGTAGTGGACATAACGATCGTTTCAAAATTTTGTTGTTATTGTTATTGTTATTATTTGTCTCCATCATTTTTTTTTTTAAATCGCTTTTCTCTTTGACTACTGGACCAATTGCTTTGAAATTTTCAGTGAGTAAAGATTGATTTTTTTGCCAGAAGGCTATTACATTTATTTATTTCTAAATTTTGCATGTAATCTGATATTTCGTCTAAGATTTCGCTGTATTATTTTATCCATGGGAACACTGGCTGTTCGGTTTGATTCTGTAAATTATTTCTACGGGAAACTCGGAATTTTTTGTGGGTACCGGTGGCGTCAGAGGTAAATACTGCTTCGCTCTGGTTAACGTGTCCATATATTTGAGCACAGCTCTCTTGTAATTACTTATCGATCTTGATCGGTAATTCGGTAAGTAGGTTGATAGGTATTTGTTTGTTTGTTTGTCTGT